TTTCGTTGAGGAGTTGGCAGTGGGCCCTTCATTTCATATTGGGAGTGATATGTAAAATTGGTAATGGCCCAGACCTGGGGAGGAGCCAGAATGGCTGTATAGCTGGCTCTGGACATGGAAATACAGACCCAGCAGTCTTTGCCTAAGCAGGGATTGTGCAGGTTCAGCAGGAAATGAGTTAACTCCAAGGTTTTGTAAAGGTAATTGAGAACAGCAGGGGGGAGTGGCTGGGGTGCTGTAGCTGGGCTTGAGAGAGAAAGAGGAAGGCTAACTGGGTCAAAGGGCGTAGGGCGGAAGGGAGGTGTTTAAGGTCTTTTTATCGATTATCAAACAGGAAGAGGGTGAGAAGGAAAGAAAACAATTTGATCTGTTCTGGGGAGAAGTTACACAGAGTACCCTGAAAACAGAGATCTTTAATCTAGTTAAGATAGGATTTCAGGGTGGAAATACGAAGGTGAGACCATACAAGATTAAAGCAGGCTGAATGAAGGAGGTAAATAAAATGACAAGACACACAAAAGCAAGGCATTTATATATCCTCTGGGATTTGGGTCAGTCTGATAGAAATAGGGGAGATTATTTGTGATTTTTTATAAGGAGGAGTTAAGCATGTTGTCAGTTGGGCACAGTTTTACCTGAGAACAATGAATTTACTGCAGACTCTGACAGCCTTTGAGGTGTGGCTCTGGTCCTGGAGCCAGTGGAGGGCTTCCTGAGGTGCTGTCACTTTACCAAGACCCCCGTGAGGGTGAAGAGAGCATCTTTTCGCTCTAGGACTGAGTAATGGGTGGTGGTTGAGGGAATAGAGGAGTGGAGTGTATATGGGTTTGGGACTATAGGATGAATGGGGAGGACAGTTTGGTGGTTCAGAGATTTTATACTAAGCAGTATGATTGATTGGACTCACACAGCGAGGATGGGGGTGTTGAATGGAGAGTTAGTGGGAATCAGGAGGGTATGTTTGAGAAGGTGATTAATGATGGTTTTAGTCCTTGGAGGGCTGGATCAGGTAGAGGGTATTGATGCTGGGCAGGGTACAGGTGGTCCTTTTTTAGGTGGATGTGGTGATGTTGAGCGACGGGGTTGAGATGTCCCAAATGTGCGGGTTGAGGGAGGGAGAAGATATGGAGTGGGAGGAAGGTGTAGCAGTAGGTGAGAGAAGGCTGGCAATAAGGTGGGGAATGGAGCCTGGAAGAGTGAGGGTGGCAGAGTTTTGTTAAAATATCTCATCCGAGGATCGGGACTGAACAGGTGGGAATAACTAGAAACAAATGAGGAAACATTTGGTTTCCCAATTGGTATAAGAGCAGAGGGGTTTTGAGAGGCCTGGACACAGTGCCGTCAATTTCCACAACAGTAATTGAGGCCAAAGTTAGCTGTTCTGAGAAAGAAGAGAGGGTGGAATGGGTCACTCCATATTGATCAGAAATGAAAAGAGTCTTACCTTCACTGTAAGATTTACCCAGAGTATGGCGGCTGTGATGGTCCAAGGGCTATCCAAGACCTCTGGGGGATGTCAGTCATCCCAGGTCCAACTGATCAGGTCTGCCTGTACCCCAGTACAGTTGGATTTCCAGTGAAGGCCACCGCATGTGGGGCATGGCTTGGGAGGGAGTCCTGGGTTGGGACAGTCTTTGGCCCAGTGGCCAGTCTGGTGACACTTAAAGCAGGGTCCCGGGGAGTGGACCCTTTCTTTTGATTCCAGAGGTTTTATTTGGCCCCTGATTGGGTTGCAGCCCTTTTGGTGTGTTTCTTACAGTGGATGCAAGCAGTTGTGAGTCAGAAATATACTGTTGGTGAGTGGCCACATCATGATTATTGAAAAAATTTTAAATGATTGATCAATTTCTGATGGGGATATGAGGGCCAGATTCTATTTTTTGGAGCTTTCCGTGAATATCTGGGGCAGATTGGGTAATAAAATGCATCTTTAAAATAAGCTTCCCTCCTGGACTCTCAGGATTTAGAGCAGTAAACTTTCTGAGATTGGAGGCTAGGCGAGATATAAACTGGGCCAGATTTTATCTCACATTTGAATAATTTCTTTTAATTTGTCATAATTAACTGATTTGTGGGTTGCCTTTTTTAGGCCCTCTGTCAGACAAGTTACCATGTAGTCTCCACACTGCCTTGGGAGAACGTGCCCCTGTGCATCAGTGTGATTGAAATCTCATGGGGGCTTGGCCTGAGGACAGCTGTAGCTCCATCCTCTAAATTATGCTCAAGCCGCCTGCTTTTGTCATAGGATTGAGCTAGGGACCACATCTGACTGTTCTCGCTCCTTGGTGGAGAGTGTAGAAGTAAGGATGACACATGTTCTTTTAGGTTAAATCATAAGACTGAGTGAGATATTGAAAATTTTGAACATATTTAGTGGAGTTTGTGAAGAAGGAACCTAGGCACTGATTAATCTGAGAAATCAGACAGAGAAAAGGGAGCATGAACTTGAGCTAGTCCCTCCACCCCGCCACCTCCCGAAGCAGAGACTGAGGAGCAGGGGGTAGAGAAGAAACAGCAAACTGCAGTTCTCAGACCTTGTGTTCAGACCTTGTGTGGTATGGTATTGTTAGGATGAGGAGGAGGGTTGGAAGTGTCAGATAAATGGAAAGAATAGGTGTTGGAGCAGAGGAAGTTACAGTAGGAGGCCTGAAGGAAGCTGAGTAACTTTGGTGGCTGCAGCTGGAGGGGGAGGGGGGCTGGACCGGAGCGAAAAGGAGACCAGATGGATGGGAGGGGGTGGGAACAGCAGGTAGGGAGGCAGGGGCAATGGGAGGCTGCTGAGGTTGGTGTGGGTTAGGAATGGGCTGAGGTGGTGGGGGCAGGGGAGGCAGACCCAGGGAGGAAGAATCTGAGGTCTGAGAGGAGTTGTTGTGGGGAGGTGGAGGGGAGGGAGCTGACAGAGGAGTTGAGATGAGAAGTTCAGCGAAGTCACAAGAGGCACAGGGAGAGGGAAGATGGCAGAGAGCAAAGAATGCCGGGACATATGGGACCTCCCATCATTTTCCCAGCCAGTGGCAATAATTGTTTAGATCTTGGAGAATAGAACAGTCAGAAGTGCCATTTTTTGGCCAATGTGATTTATTATTTAATTTGTATTGTGGCCAGGCTATATTGCAAAAGAAAACTAGGCGTTTTGGCTTCAGGTCAGGGTATAGGTGAAGTGCCTTGAGATTCTTTAAAGCGCACGCAAGGGGGAAAGAGAGACGAATGCAAGAAGAGTTGTTGCCCATGGAGGGATCTGAGTCCAACAAAATGGAGGCCACTTAAGAAAAAGAGAGGACATCTCCTGTCAGTTTCTTAAGGCTGGACAAAGTGGATGGACACCAAGTCGGGTGTCCTCGGAACTTGGTGACCACTAGGAAGTCTGACTCCTAGAAGTGAGCGTGATCAGCTCTGGGTTTGGAAGCACAACTCAAGAGTCAGCCCAGATAGACCTACAGGGTGGAGAGAGAAGGGATATTGAGAAGGAGTCAAAGAAAGAAGGGAGGCAAAAGGAACCTACCTGACCTGAGGAGGAGATTTGGATTAGCAGCAGAGCCATGGTGGGGGAAACGCTGAAGGTCCGATGTTAGAGGTCGCCTCAGTCAGCCTGGAGAGATCCAGGAAGGGAGACTGGACCCTCCTGGGGGAGGGGGTTTCATTTCCTGGGTTTCAGCACTAGATGTTAGGGTAAAGTGAGACATGATTGAGACCACCAGAGCAGGCAAAAATGAAGCAACAAGTGAGCTTCCTGTTATCCTTTGTGCCTTGCAGGATGTGTAATTGCATTGCCTAGGAAGTTTTTCTCTTCTTTGTGGGCTGGGGTCTGATCCTGATTGCCTCTGAAATGGACTTTTGTTAGCTTCATGATAACTTAAAAAACACCCTTGGACTTTTAATCCAGGTTTGCATAGATTATCCAAACATGAAAGTCTAAATAGTTTGAAGTCTTTTATACTCTCCATTCTTCACCTTGTTCTCCCTGCCTATTCATCTTTAATTTTACAGACAGCTGCTAATTGCCAAGCATGAAACTTTGTGTTTTGGACTTGACAGAGAGCCAAGATCTCTTTCCTTTTAAGTGTTTACATCCAGATGAGGGAGACAGGCTGATAATGTGTTCTTCACTTGATCTTAGCCAAAAGGCGGAGAACGATGGTAACTTGTTCTTAAGTGTTGTAATAGCTTATAGAAGGAAGCATCCTTGAAGAATGCATAGAAGCTTCTTTCACTCCGTGGTCTAGGCCTTAGGGAATTTAATTGAGGGAGTAGGGTAAGGACATTCTAGATAGAGAGAAAAAAGGCATTTCACAGATAGTCCCGGTTGTCTGTCCCTACCCTTGGGAGACTGCTTCCTGCTTCTTAGCTGCAGAGCTCTTGCTCTTGTCTGAACCAAAGCTAAGCCCCTGCACAGGGCATCTGAGGCCTTCCATGCTGTGACTTCCACTCTCCGCAGATGTCAGTGTTTCTTGCCTATTTGGTGCCACAGCGTTTGCAGTTCAAATCTGTGTGTAGCTCACTCACACAATGTTGTTTGCACACACAGCCCACATAGCTTTGGCTGTGAGTGTCTTGGAGGTCTGGTTCACTTGCTGGGCCCCATGCACCTGACCATTCCACTTTTCTTCTGAGACCATTTGCTCAGGTGTGCCTTTATCCCCTTCCCCTCTAGGTAGAGTCAGGCAAATTGTAGCAGAAAACTATAACAGGTGCAGTACATTTGAGAAAAATAATTACATGGTATACTGAAGGGAAACATTTTTCATTTCGCAGTTTGGCCATGCAGTATATCCTAAAATTGACTATTTGTTCCTTCAAGGGCACAGACTCACTTTATAATAGCAATATTTGGTACATGAAAACTGAAATATTTTAAGAATAAATGAACATGATATTTCTCACTTCGTATTTCCCTCCAAAATTATGAAATCTTGCAGAGTTTTGGAAAATTGTGTAAATGTAGATTTTTTTAGGCTTTGCTTTTAAGTAATGAGTTTTTCTTCTGTCTTTTCTTTTGTAAGCTCCTTGCCCGACTTGAAGGGAGAAGTTCCTTAAAAGAAATTGAACCGAATCTGTTTGCTGATGAAGATTCACCTGTGCATGGTAAAAATACATCTTCAGATAGAAACATAGTACCACAAGTTAAGTTTTATAAAACAAGTTTTTCCACACACGTACACACAGGCGCACGTGCACGCACAACACACTCCTAGCAAAAGGCTGTATAGGTCAGACTACAATTTAAAAAATGAACATCATAACAGAACACTGTTAGGCCTTCTTTATATGTCAGATGAGATGAAGTTTAGCTTATGTCCAGTAACTTCAATAATTTTTGTTTTGTTTTTTTTGAGATAGAGTCTTGTTACATAGTTAAACTTGCCTTGAACTCACTGTGTAGCCCAGGGTGGCATAAACTTGGGGTAATCATCCTGCCTCAGCCTTCTGATTGCTGTGATTACAGGTGTGTACCACTGTGTATGGCTTTGTGCATTAACTTTACATGTGTGCAGAAAATCTTCAGAGTATACACTGACCTCCGTCCTTTTTTCTCAACACAAAATTTTTTTATTTTTGTTTTTCTGAGGCACATTCTTGCCATGCAGTCCAGACTGGCCTCAAACTGGCAGCGATCCTCCTGCCTCAGCTCCTGAGCATTAGGATTACACACATGCACTGTCACGCCTGATTCTCAATACAAAATATTTATTTATGGACTTTGTTATTATACCTTAAAAATTTTTTTTTCTTATGGGAAGAAAGTGCTGAAATGGGATGGGGAACAAGGGAGGAGGGAGAGAAAGAAGGAGGGGACAAGAAAAAAGTGAAGATAGAAGGGAAAAATGGAAACAAAGCTTTTGTACATAGGGAGGGGAGGGGGCTTGAGGAGGAGGATGGGATAAAATAAAATTTATTTTAAAAATGTGAAACGCTGAAAAACAATTCTTTTTCTTTAGAAATTTGCAGAATTACAAGTCCTTAGGTACCCACTTGTACTATTATTATTTCTACAGCAAGGATAATAGGTATCTACTTGTTCTATTGGAACTTGTATTCTACGAAGAACTTACAAAGGAGATAGCATGCTTAGGTGGCTTTGTTTTTTTAAGTGTAACAGCTTTAGAGACATATAATTCACTCATTTCGGTGTACAAATCGGTCATTTTCAGTATAGTCGCACAGAGGTGTAACCATCACCACAACTGATTCTCGAGCATCTGCATCACCTCAAATCCATCCCTGTTTGTAGTCATCTTGTCTCTCTGTCCAGGTGCCCACTGACTCTGCGCCTGCCCCTTTCTGGACATTATTTACTCATTGGCTGATGGGCATTTGGGTGGTTTCCATTTTCTAGCTGTTAAGAATATTGAACTTAGGCCGGGGATTTAGCTCAGTAGTTCTGCTGCCTGCCTCGCAAGCGCAAGGTCCTGAGTTTGATCCCCGGTACCAAAAAAAAGAATATTGAACTCGCTATGTAGCTCAGGCTGGCCTTGAACTCACAGTGATCTTCCTGCCTCAGCCTCTCAAGTGCTGAGATTACAGACATGTGCCACCATACCTGGCTGGACAAAAAAAAATGTATTTTACACATAATGTCATATATTCTTAACACACACACAGACACAGAAAGTATTACTGATAATAACTTCTGTCTTAAAAATCTGTTTTGTCTTATAACAGTGTAACAACTTCAAATCTCCTTTGGTTACTGTTTGCATAGTTTCTCTTTTTCTTTTCAGCCTGTTTAGGATTTGGATCCTAAAGTGTATGTGTGTAGGCACATGTTTAGGATTTGGATCCTAAAGTGTATGTAGTGTGTTGCAGACAGCCTACAGTTGCATCATGGGATTTTTTGTTTTTGTTTTTTATTCCATTTTTCTTATCTCTGCCTTTTGACTGGATACTTTAATTCATTTATAATTAGTGTAATTACTGATGAAATAAAGTTTATGACTATTATTTTGCTGTCTTTTTATGTCTTCTGTCTTTCCTATTCCCCTATCCCTTCTTTACTGTTTTGTGTTAAGTATTTGGTAGTGTACTATTTTAACTCTTGTCATTCTCTTCATGGTTTTTTGTTTTGTTTTTTAACTTTTTCTAATCATTGCCCTGGGATTACAATTAACATCTTAAGTTATAACAATGTAGTTGTAATTTTTTTTTTTTTTTTGTAGAACAGATTTTACGAGATCCTGGTAGGTGACTGGAGTTCAGACGTGTGCTCTTCCGATCCACTCCAGGTGATCTTTCTGCCTCAGCTTCCTGAGTGCTGGGACTACAGGCATGTACCACAAAGCCCAGCTGTAGAACAGATTTTTAAAATTTATTTTTCCTACAACCTTGACCTGGAAAGACCAGGCTAGTCATACCCTACAGTGTCCCACTTTCTGGATTTTGCTGATTGTTTCCTTGTAGTGTCATCTAGCAACAGCCTCTAATACTGCAAGTTGAGTCTAAAGACCTGACTAGAGTCAGGCTAAACACTGCATCACAACAAGAGGCACTTAATGACTTTTATTTATTTTTTGTTTTATATTGTCTTAAAAATGCCTCTTAGGGGAAAAATTGCCCCTTGAATATGATTTACCTAACAGATATCTGCACCAAAATAAGAAACTTTATTTACATGTTAGGACAGTGAGTAGGCAAAGTTTTACAATTTATTGAACTCAGATTTGAGTTTTTTAAAAAGCTGTATTCAAGCTCTGAGTATTTCACTTATAAAGTTCTTCATGTGGCACACTTCTTTCTGTCCAAAGGTAAAAAGCTATCTGTATTTGCTTAATTCTGTTACTGTATTTTGCTTTTTCAGCTTACTATGACTTAGTATCCTCAGTCATTTCATTGTTATTCATCATTTATATTTCCTTTTCTCATGTCTTCTTGGGCTTTTTCGTCTCTCTTTATGTTCTCGAGCTTATCTTTGAGGTGCAAGGTGTTCATTCCCAAGATCCACAACAATTACCTCCCTAGAAAATGTCGCTCCTTTTAAAGGTCTTTTTTTGGCTTTCGGTAACTAAAGGTATGAGTGTTTCCTGCAAATTTTCACCCTCTAGATTCACTTCTGCAGCATACTCAGGCCCTTGCCTGTCTTTCATTTTGTCCTCTTTCTCTGCCTCCATGCCCTGTCTGTTTCCTAAAGATGTCACCACCTTATTCTGTCTCTGGACAAGAATCCCAGGCCTCACTGGTGCATGCGAGCCCATGATCTGCATTAGGATCTTTTCTTGGTCTCCTGTCTTTATTTGTCTCATTAGCAGGTGAAGGTGAACAATCTTCACCTCGATTAGCATCTGTGCAAGGAATTTTTTCTGTCACTTATCTTTTTTTGTCTTGGAAACATTTATATATAAAAAACACCAATAAAAAGAAGATGTAAACGAAGCAAATTAGAAGGATGATGAAGAAAGGGACTGTGGTGCTTTCAGAGCTCAGAGGATTAGCTTTTGAAGACTCATCCGTTCTCATAGATTCTCTAAATATTCTTTTCCAGCTCAGTTTGAAGGTAGTTCTCTTCTTTAAGTTTTCTGTAATCCTGTCGTTGTGGGAGGCTGAAGCAGGAAAATCACAAGTTTGAGCTCCCTTGGTGAGACTCTTTCTCAAAATAAAATCAGTGCTCTCTAGATTCAAGCTCTAGTACTGGGGAAAAAAAGAAGAAGAAGAAGAGGAGGAGGAGTTGTAGTTGTAATTTTAATAGTTTATAAAGACTTTACTACTGTATAGATCTGTCCCTCCCTCTACTCCTTTGTGCTTTTACTGATTATATCTTTATACATTGTATGGCCATCAACACACAATATTACCACTGAATTAAAATAATTAAGATTAGTAATAGTTACTTCCTAAATCAGGTAGATGAAAAAAGTTACAAACATAAAATACATGGGGCCAAGGATTTAGCTCAGTGGCACTGCACCTGCCTTGTAAGCACAAGATCCTTTGTTCAATCACAGTACTGAAAACAAACAAACATAAAATACATCTGTGCTGTCTTTAATATTTATCTATGTGGTTATATTTACCTGTGTTCACTCTTTTCTCATCTCATTTTGTGTAACTCTCTGCAAAGGACTGGATTCCCTGTGGTATACTTGTAAAGCAGATGTGCTAGCTCCAGATCCCCCTAAATCAGCGATGGCAAACCTTTTAGAGCTTTCAGATGATACAAACAGCCCACTGTGGCACACATGCCATAGGTTCACCCCCACTGCCCTAAACCATCAATAATAAAAGATGAATTCTGACCAAATATGTTAGACAAAAACACTGAACTTTGTATTCTTTTTATAGAAAAGTCTATTGTTAAGGTAAATCTTATGAAACTGACATTAACATGGTAAAAAAAAAAATCAAGGTTTGTAGCACTACTGCATTAGAAGATTTATTATAGAAAGTTTGAAAACCACTAATGTGTTTAGTCACCAACAAAATGTTTAGTTAAGATTGCCATAGCTGGGGATTTAGCTCTGGATCTGCCACCTGCTTTGCAAGTGCAAGGTTCCGAGTTTGATCCCCGGTACCAAAAAAAACAAAAAGGTCGATCCTGATGTTCTGTTAAAACAAAAGGAACAGCCTATTGGGCCGGGCATTTAGCTCAGTGGTTCTGTTGCCTGCCTTGCAAGCGCAAGGTCCCGAGTTCGATCTCCAGTACCAAAAAAACCCGAAGATTGCCATAGATCTGTAGCTGTAAAACAAGGTAGATAAATATTCTTTTAGAACAATAGCAGATATAAGGCTTGGATTATATGGATTAGTTATCAGAAATTATTATAGGGAATCTTAAGTTGAAGCAGTAAGATATTTAAGGGTTTGAAAACCTAATATCATGGTAAATATATATATATATTTTTGATACCAGGGATCAAACTCAGGACCTTGCGCTTGCAAGGCAGGAGGCAGAACCACTGAGCTAAATCCCTGGCCCCTCAACATATTTCTTATAAAGCTAGTAGGCTGGTACCAAAATGGTGTTTTTTTGGTCTTTTTTCCCCTTATTTTGAAGGAACTTTAAATTCATAAGTCTTTCTGACAATCTGTTACTCCAACTCCTATGGCATTTTTTTGTTTGTTTGTTTTTGGTACTGGGGATGTAACTCAGGACC